TAAAGCCATAACCACACTTGTTTTGGCAGGAATTGGTAGTCCTTTGTTTCGTGTTCTGTCTGTCCATTTTTTCTGTTGATTTGAGGATACTTTGTTGTCCAATGGCTAACTTTTGCCACAATGAAAGTTAACTCCATATGCAGTTTCTTCAATGCCCATATTTTCTCTGAAGTAGATTAGTACTGCCAGGAGCCGACATGTCTCAAAGGGAGCCGACCGTTCCCCGCTTCCAGCTGCAGCACTCGGGAAGGCAGGCCCTGCTCCTCACCTGGGCAGCACAGTAGAGCTGACTCTGCTGGCAGAGGTGAGGGTGAGCTGTCCCTGAGGGTGTGTAAGTGGGATAACTGGCCACATGCCCCTCATCTGCCATGTGGTGGTGTGAGGGAAAGGCGCCCCCCCCCCCACTTGACCCTGCCACTTGTGGTGGGTGAGGGAGCTGACCCTCCCCCTCACCAGCTGCAGCACTTGGGAAAGCGGGCCCTGCACCTCGCCTGAGCAGCACAGCAGAGCTGACCCTCTTGACAGGAGATCTGGCCCCATCCCTCATCTGCCATGTGGTGGTGTGGATGGGGGAGAGATCCCCCTTCCTCTGCTGCCTACGGCAGGTGGGAAGACTGGCCCTGTGGTCATAAGAGTGGGAGAGCTGTCACTGCTTCTCACCCGCTGCAGCACTCGGGAGAGTGGCCCCTCACCTCACCTGGGCAGCACAGCAGAGCCGGCCCTGATGGTCCAGGTGTGGGAGAGCTGACCCTGAGGTTGTGAAAGCGGGAGAACTGGCCCCTCCCCTTGCTGCAAGGGATGAACTAGCCAGGGCAATGCTGGAGAGCTCACCCTGGTGGTAAGGATGGGGGAGAGCTAGCCAGCTGACCAACTCTACAACTACCCAGGCCCAGAACTAGGGTTATGAATGTTGACCCACCCCAGTATCCACCCCATCTATGAAATGCTGGAGCACATGAAGGGATCGATCCTGCAGACCCAAAGCTGCAGGATCTGCATGACACAGGGCAACAACAGGATGTCCAAGAGGAGTCCCAGTGAGGGCCTATCATTGACAGTATAGCAGAAACTAGAGTCCTCACACCAGACCAGTGACTCTGCAGGGAACAATTGCAAGTAAAGATATATGGACAAAAGGGTTTACTGTGTGACCTACTGTCACACTACAGATTCCATGACAAGATTTTCCCCTTAAATTTTATTTTATTTTTTTGGAGAGGTGTTTCAGGGGTAGAGGTCGGATACAAAGGGATGGGGAAATTGATAGGATTGAGATATATGATGTGAAAGACACAAAGAATAAAAGAAAGTTAAAAGAGTGTATGCTGTGTGACATGAGTGTGTGCATGTGGGTGTATATGTGCGTGTGTGAGTGTATATGTGTGTGTTTGTGTGCCATGTGTATACCAGATCACAATCAGTACAATATATTTTCTTTGAAGCTACCGATTACTGTAATAGCGCTATCGACTGTTGTCTAAGGATATTACCATTGGAGGGTTTTAGGATGTCACGGCCATGGTTAAGAGCAAATCTAGCAACCACAACCAATAAAGGTTGCTATTTAAGCTTTGAAAACATCGTGTAAATGTATGTTTCTCTGAACAGTATTTTTTCTTAACGTGTGTAGATTCTTTCTGATCAGTACCAGATGCAGGATGTGCTGGAGAAGTCCGATAATTTGATGGCCGCAGCCAAAGGTCTGTTTGCTGATGTTCCTCGTAAGCGCACGGGTAAGTGTTCAGTCCACACAAAACCTGCCCTTCTTTCTTAAACCCACTGATTAGGGGAATCCAGTCTGTTTCAGGAATCGTGTTTCTATCATGTGTTCTAGCTGGCTGGTATATGAAGATTATTAGGGCTAAGAGTCTAATTTGTTTGTTCTTTACTAGGAATATGAAGTATTACAAATTATTTACCTACTAACTGTTATCTACTAACATATGGTGTAAAGTACAGTGTTTTGTAACTATAAAATGTGGCTTAATTTTCAGTTTATTAAATCATCACATAATTAAACCATGTGCATTTACATGTAGTTTGAATAAGCTTAACTTAAAATATAAAGCAACTTCAGTTTCTTGCTAAAAGAAACTTTGCTTGTCTTTAGTTACGTAGGATTATCCCTGCCCCCAACCCCCAGGGTCCATGTAGCCAAGACTGGCCTTGAACTCCTGATCTTCCTGCCTCTTAACTCCTGAGTGCTGGCATTCTAGACATGTACCACCATTCTCGGCTTCAACGTTATGAATCATAATCTGCTTATAACTTGTTTAATCTTTCAGAAACGTGATTTAGTTTTAGTAGGAAATTTGAATCCCAGGTCAGCCATTTATTAGAGTGACTCTGGGCTAGTTACTTAATTGCTCCAAGTTTCAGTTTACTGAGCTGTAAAATAATAGACTATATCTCATGGAATTTTGTGAAGGTAAAGACGAGTTTAGATATGTTTGGTCCATATACATAACATGTAAGTGCAGCTGCTGTTGGAGATTTCCCTGAAGTGAAGGGAGCCCGTGGCAGTGTAGAACTTGGGAAGCCTGATAAGCAGATGAAAGAAATCATAGTGACTTGTGTTCCTTTGGCAGGGTTTCCAAATGTAACCATGGCTCCAGATTCCTCTCAGAGTCCCATTGGAGTGAATCAAGACCCTGGCACCCAGTCTGCCCTTAATGAATCTCTCATAGAGCCTCAGGTAATGCATTGTGCTCAGAGCCAAGTGCCCATGCTAAAATGAAGTTCAGCTTTGATATAGGAATCATGGTAAACATTTTAAATGTCAACCATTGTCCTGTCGGCTATAAAGAGATAGTGGGAAAAAAAATAAACTGAAAAGAAGATTGGGAAAGATGAGCTAGAAAAAGAAAAGACCATCCAAGAAGAAATGATAGGAAGTTGAAGGATGAGTGTATAATTGACTATATGATGTGTGTGTGCATGTGTGCGTGTGTGCGTGTGTGTGTGTGTGTGTGTGTGTG